ACAATACAATACAATCAATACAACACAACACAACACAATACAATCAATACAACACAACACAACACAATACAATCAATACAATACAATAAATACAACACAACACAATACAATACTACACAACAGAGTTGGAAAGGACCTTGGAGGTCTTCTAGTCCAACCCCCTGCTTGGGCAGGACGCCCTATACCACAGCTTGCCTCCAGAAGGTGTGAATGCTCCGACACTGGAAGTATTTACGAAGATGTTGGATAGCCATTTGTCTGAAACGGTATAGGGTTTCCTGCCTAGGCAGGGGGTTGGACTAGAAGACCTCCAAGGTCCTTTCCAACTCTGTTGTGTAGTATTGTATTGTGTTGTGTTGTATTTATTGTATTGTATTGATTGTATTGTGTTGTATGTATGTATTGTATTGTATTGTATTGATTGTATTGTGTTGTATGTATTGATTGTATTGTATTGTTTTGATTGTATTGTATTGTGTTGTATTGATTGTATTGTGTTGTGTTGTGTTGTATTGATTGTATTGTATTGTATTGATTGTATTGTATTGTATTGTATTGATTGTATTGTTTTGATTGCATTGTGTTGTATGTATTGTATTGATTGTATTGTTTTGATTGGATTGTATTGTGTTGTGTTGTATTGATTGTATTGTATTGTATTGATTGTATTGCATTGTATTGTAGATAAATGGTTCCTTCCTCCCTCCCTCCCACCCTTTCCTTTTTCCTTCCTTCCTTCCTTTTTCTCTCCCTTCCTCTTTTCTTCCCCCCTCCCCCTTTTCTTTCCTTTTCTCATTTCTTTCAGTTTCCTTTCTTCATGCCAAATTCAGACTAAACATACCTAACAAACCTACTTGTGGCTCTATTAGATGCTATTCTAACTAATGGCAAATCCGGTTTACATTGGCAGGACAACAAAAATTCTAGAATCGGATTCTTTCTTTCTTTCTTTCTTTTTTATGCTGCCTTTTGCATCTCAGTTTTATTTCTCTTTTTTTGCTTTTGCTTTTGAGCCCCACGGCTGTGAGTGCGATGTTTTCATTTCCAGGTCCTTTTCTCTCCCAGTTGGGAGACCCCGGCCAGAGACTAGAATGGATCTCCTCCTTCGAAGACCTCTGGGAGGGCGTGTTGTAGAAGAAGGAGATGCTGCCTTTTAACAAACCAAAACATTCCGGGTGTGTGTGTGTGTGCAGGGCAGTTTCTGCTGTCTGAAACACACATACACGGGGATGCAAAAACATCGCACCAGAAACATCTTTCCGGCCTAAAAGGCCAGGACTCACTATGCAGCCTCATGTAACATGAACTAGGTGAGCCAGCTACTCCCACACAT